TGTGTGTGTGTGTGTGTGTGTGTGTGTGTGTGTGTGTGTGAGAGAGAGACATGGTAAATAGTCATATGCTGTCATATGTCATAGTTCATCTGAGGTTGTATTTACCTCATTTTGAGATATGCTAAGGGCCTTTTTTTTTTAACGTGTCCTGTGAGTAAAACTTTAGAATTGGATTTTAAAATTTGTGTACTTCTCCTTCTTTCTTTCTTTTTTTAAAATCATTGCTGTATGTGTGCATGTGCTTTTATTTTTCCATTACCTGTTTTCTGTTGAGCAGAAAAATGTCACCCAAGGATTGAGGATAGTGTTGTCTGATGAAGGAGGGAGGTACATGGCCTCGGAGAAGCAGGTCAGTAATAATCTCAACAGTTCTGTCCTGAAGGATGGAGATTGAAAAGACAGAAAAGACAAAAAAGAAAAAAGAAAAGTAAATCACACACACAAAAATAAGATTACATTTTAGATTTTACCACACATGAGATTTTACACACTTGAGGCCAACTCACCTATTCAGATCATGGATGTAGTTTAGAGGGGGCGACTGTGCAAATCCCACCCCTGCCTCCCAAATGTATTCACAGCTGTCTATAGACTGCATGCTCTCTACTGAGTCCTGGATAAAGTCACACACACACACAGACGTACACACACACAAAAAAAAATCCAGTCAAATAGCTTTATAGCTACATTTCCTGGTCTTAGATTTGCAAAGTAATTTATTCAGTGACTTAGACTCAATTGTAGATAATGGGAAGATTGACATTGTCAAACATTGTTAACTCCTGGTAAGAAATAGCTTATGAAACCTGATCTCTGGTATATGAATTCTAATATTCTGCCATTGCCATCCAGATTGTGGGTAGGTATAATTTGCTGTTGCTGTCACTTTTTATATAAAAGATAATTTCACTTTAGTTGCCATAACAGACTTTTCTGACATCTACCTTAGCACTGAAATGATTACATGAACAGCAATGGGGAGTTCAAAGTTACAGACTGAGCAACATTCTTTTCATACTCATGGAGAATTCTTCCTTTGTCGCTGAGAAAGTATCAGTCACCAGAACCTAGCTCTGTGCTTCGGTCAAACTTGAGTGGCAGGTTAGTTTGGAAATCTTTGATCAGGAAGAAGGAAACAGTGCCTGAAGAAATATGTCTAACGTCTGGAACAATGTTAGAGACTAAGGTCAAGGAATAAATGTTTGTGCTGCACTATTCTGTCAGCAGTAACTTCTTTTGCTGGATGGAGGTAGGATGACAAATTAATGACACTGGACTGTACCGTGTCAGAAGGACAGCTGTTACTCACAGGGCCCCTCTTGTGACTATGCACAGTGAAGTCAGGGCAGAAGAGGAGGTCAGCGATAGCCAGGAGCAGCGACTCGGCCAGTGGTCGAGCTCCTTCATCATCATCCAGCTCGTCTGTCTGAAAAAATGTGGAAAAAGTGGAATCCTTCAAAAATATTTACATTTTTTTTAAAGAAAAGGAAGAGAATACACCTTTTTATATCTGGAATGAGGGAATTTAGGTTCACTGGAATAAAGCATTCCCACTTGGGAAAGCACAGGGCTTATAACCACTGTTCCCTATAAGCTGAGTGCATGAGCAATCGCGCACTGCTGACACAGTCTCCGCGCACAGAAAATCAGCGAAATAAAATAAATACATGTATTTACTTTAATTCCAATTCAGGCTGGATTTTTTTTCTTTTTGTGTGTGTGATTTTCTGTGTGGGGAGACCGTGTCAGCAGTGCGCGATTGCTCACGCGCTCAGCTTAGAGGGAACATTGCAACTAATTTATTAGGTGAATCCATCTTTATATAAGTAAAATAAGAAAGCTTCTGAGAAGCTTGTTGACACTCTGTCATATTTTTTAGAAACAAACAAAAGCAGTATTTAGTGTTACAAGTGATTTAAAAACCCGCTGAATGTGATGAGTATATTTATGAATATTTTTATCTAGCTATCTATTTTCTTAACTCCTGATCCAGCCTTGTGAGCACTGTGATAGACTGGTGACCTCTCCAGTGTGTGCCTCGATTTTCTTCCATACAACCATGGATACACAATGTTAATCTGTGACAAACTGATCTTCCTTTTCCCATGCCAACTCACCCCAGCCCGCCCAGCACCAGGCACTGTGGACCAGAAAAATCCTCTCCAGTCCTGGTCCTCAAAGATGTAGGGAAGGATGCGGGTCAGGATGCGACAGCAATTGAGGACTACCTGCTTTTCTTTCTCAGAGGGACAACCAGACTCTGCTCCCTGGACAAGCTTCTCCACGGCCTGAAGAATCCAGAAACATTGTAAGTGGGTGATTATATTTAGTATGGAACATAATATCTAGTATCTACATCTTCTGTACTGATATATGGCACTGATCATTTAATTCAGTTTGATATTGTGTTTTAATTCAATTTAAAAACAGTGAATATGCTTCAGCTACACTGGTGCTAGAACTTGTTTAGTTAATGAAGCATGACCCACACAGCACACCTCACCACACATCAAGGATCTATAGTGTTTTAGAACATTTTTTTGAAATAATATAATTATTTTAACACTGAATTCTTTCCAAACCAGAATGTCACCATGAGGAAAACAGCTATCCATCCATAATCATAGATTTTAATCTATGATTATAATAATTTCCAATCAACTTTTAGTTTGAGGACATAAAGATATTATAGCAGTTATCAAGAGTCATGCTCATTTGTTTGTTAGGAAACATGGCACCATGTTAAGCACCAGCAGTCTTACCAACAAACAGACAAGCATACTTAATCTCTGTATCTGCAATTTTTGGACCAAAAACAAAAATTTACTTGGTGATTTATTATCTAAATTTAATCAAATACACGCTGCAGATAAGCAAGCTAAAAATAAGCAAGAACCCCTTTGAACCTGCTCAGCTTTCAAGGGCTCTCATCCCCACCTCTTCATTTAATTATGCTGTGAGCCCCACTGTGTTTGTTTCTGACAGGCAGCTTCAAAACGGAAGCTGGTGGCTAGAGACGGGAAGCAACGGGAAAAGGAAGGGGAGCTGACTCATTTATTCAGACATCTAAGAGCCTGTGCAGGGCTCTGCAGTCAAAATAAAGCAGTTTCCAAACAACAGAATTCCATTATGTAACACAAAATGCGCCGAGAGTTTATTTAATGCTTACTTTATAACAAAGGGTCGCTAAATTTGAGGGGGACTCCTCTCGAACAGCTCTTATCTCTGCAGCTGGCACCAGTGCAAAAACATCCTGGACCGTGGTGGTGGTGTCTGCCCAGAACTGATCCCAGAAGGCATCGTCTGTGGCTTCCACTGGCTGGAGAAAAATATGTGCACATTTCAGTTCCCTTTGAAGCAAAACTGAGCATTTAACCTCGGCCAGACGTCTTATTTTATTTTATTTTATTTTATTTACAACAGCCTTGATCTTGCGCTGCACAGCATTAAAATCGCATCTGAGACCTTTACCTTCATACAAAGATCTACACGCTTATCCTTTCATGTATTTTATACATAATCAGAGCTCATGGCAATGCCAACACAATTGCTTGTTCTAGCAGCAGCGCAAACAGTATCTGTGACACTGACGGCACAGTCCACCTGCCGCATCTGCAAACGTAGTCCAGACCTACGTCATCACCTTTGATTTTGCTGTACGCCATAATGTATAATCATCTGAACTGAACGCGTACAGCATTGAAAAACCAAACAAGCAAAAAACAAACAAACAAACAAACAAACAAACACAAACAAATTACGGTGACTCACAAAACAGATTCTGTGACAGTTTAATAAAAATACGACACAGGCCTGTTTGCCGCGTTACATTCAGGTGATAAATATTTATAATCTGCAAAATAATAAACAGACGTGACCCGAAAAGGCTGCATGCAACACGAGATTAGTTTATTTTTATTTATATATGTTTTCTTTTGCTCCTGCGTCGCAAGCGTTATCCCTTCATCTCGTCGACGATGCTCTTCGGTGCGCCCACTGGCTCTGTCTTTTAACGATTTATTTAGTTGGATAGAATATACATATAAACTGCTCGTAACCCACCTGTGTTTTGGTCGTGAGCTGGATCACTGCCTTCCTGAAGTTCAATTTAGAGTCGGTGCTGCCCATTGCGGTTATTTGCCTTTATACACAGAAGGACCGCCGCTACTGACAATCCCTGATAATCTCACCTCCGTCCTTCGCTTGAGTCATTGGCGGAGACAATTTTTCACTCTATTGGCTGACTGGGCAAGCAGGCTGCACTACAGACTGCAACTTCCGGGTTGAAAATGTGCCAGCCACTTACTTCAGAGTGGATATTTTGTTTTAAGCCTTCTATCTGCCATACAACAGAAAATACAATATAATACATGGCAACCTAATCTGCACGTCTACTCTTCAGTATAAAATATCCATAAGAAGGTATATGTGGAAATAGACTTCAGCTTACTGCTTTGTTGACTTGTTTCTATTTAATAGTCTCAGCCCTCAAGACAAACATTATGACAATAAATGTGTTTGCAAATGGCGACATCCTATGGGGAAATTAATGTGGTATAAATGGGGTTGACTTGATCAGTACATTTTCAGGGTTAATGTGCTGTTTGTCAGTTCTTGTGTAGAACGTAAGTCTCTGAATGCTTTGTTACTTTCGGTTACCACAGAATCCGGGAACAAGACGCAAGAGATTTGTGCATTTGACTGACATCGAACCAAAAACTTGCTTCTAAAGCGAATGTACAAATTTCACACTATAATTGCTAGAATACTGTTACCTTTAGGCGTTCTTCCTTTCAGTCCCAAGCCACCTCATATTTTTACTTATGAAAAAGGAAAAGCATGCATTACACAAGTTAGCTTTATTTTCTGTTGCTTATTTCTGTTGCCCTTGTTATTAACCTTCACGTCTATATTGGTATATATATGCTTTGTTCTCCCAAAAAAACAAAGCCATGTGAGTTAGGGTTCGTTTTTTCCTATTGGTCTTTAAAGGCACCATAATTGGTCTTTGCGCAGGCGCGGTGCCATGTAAACACAACAGTTGCGGTTGGTTGTGCGTGTTATCAGTTGCAAGTATCGTTGGCTAGGTTGAGTTTGAACGCTAGTAATTTTATTTCGATTTAAGAGCGCAATAGTTCCGAAAGGGAGTAAAAATTGTACTGCGTGCTGTAGTTAGCTAACATATGATAAGAGGATTCTCGTTAGCTTGCGGTGACGTTAGCATTAGCTTTGAACCAATGATAAAGCGCGTTAGGACAGGCTTGTTAACTACCTAGCTCGTCAACGCCTGATCTTTTTTTGTCGTCAATTAACGCCACGTCGATTTTTTTGTGTGGTTTATCACTCTAACTGGTGTCTTTGGCACTGTGACTGAAATGGAAAACTGTATCGCATTGTTATTGAGCGTAATTAGCTAATCAGGCAAAGTTAGCTAAACTAACAGGCCGTCGACAGACAGGAAACGAGCTCCGTTAACCAGCAAATAACGTCAGCCAACCGGCTCCTCCTGTCTGCTCAGAAGAAAATAAAAAGAAGAATCTCATTTAGGTTGCTCAAGTGTTATCATATGTTGACTGAAAGCAGGTGAGCTTACAATATAACTCCAATTGAGTAGATTGAGTAGTGATTGAACGAGAGTTGGCTCGACGTTTCCGTGGCCTTTGTTGCAGGACCCACGTAAAATGTTGAATATGCTAACAAAATAAGCATGATTCCAGCAACCGTAATTGGTCACAGCAACTGTATTACTTTAACAACTGTAGTGCTGTAGGTCTATGGTGTCTTCGAAGTACCGTTGAGAATATACCGAGCTAGCTGGTCTTGAATATAACAATGGCAGCTTGCAGTGACTTTGCATAATAATCGTCATGTATACACTGTAGCAGGGATAAGGCATTGCTTTTAAATTCGTCTACTCTACAGTTAACTGAGGAATTAGGTCTCATATGTTGCTTACACTTGTTTTTAATAAGTTGGTGAGGCCAAATTAATCTTTACCTATTTTGGCTTTCTACCTGAACAGGAAACGGCAGCACAGTGGTGGTGATGAGGAGAATGGCCACCTGGTGCCCCAAGCCAAAAGGCAGACCAGAGCACATCCCATCTCCCCTGAGCCAGGGCGTGATGCCTGGGACTCTGAGGTACAAGCGTTAACTGAAACTTGCATTAAGCATGTTATTCAGTTCATTTAGAAACTATAGAGGGAAGGTAACATGATACTCACAGAAACCTGAGTAGAAATGCAGAATAAGCATTTCTCATTTTTTTGCATGTCATTAAGCAAATTTTGATATTACACAAAGATGACTGGTGTGAATATAAAGTGCAGTTTTTAAATGATGGTTTCATTTATTAAGGGGAAAAAGCTATCCAAACCTACCTGGCCCTATGTGAACAAGTAAACCTAATAACTACTTGTGCCATCCTTTGACCCAAGAACTGCAGTCTAGCTTTTGATAACTGGCTACGAGTCCTTCACATTACTGTGAATGAATTTTTGCCCTTTCTTTTTTACAGAATTGTTTTAATTCAGCTACACTCTCTAGGTTTTTGAGCATTTTTCGAGTTCAGGACAAACCCAAAGCATCCGAATCTGATTTGAGTCTAGAATTTGACTAGGTCAGTCCAAAGCTGTCCATTTTTTTTTTGTTTTCTTGAGCCATTCAAAGGTGGACTTTCTTGTGTGTTTTTAGATAAAAGTCCTACTGCATTGACTAATGTGTTTGAGCTTCATGGCACAAACTGATCAACAGACTTTCTCCCTTAAACGTTACCTACCATATTTGACTTTTAATGTAATGTTGGCAGCACAGTGGTTGGCACTGTTCCGTCACAGCAAGAATGTCCTGGGTTCAATTCCACTATCAGGCCGGGGTCTTTCTGTGTGGAGTCTGCATGTTCTCCCTGTGTTTGTGTGGGTTCTCTCCGGGTACTCCGGCTTCCTCCCACAGCCCAAAGACATGCAGTTAATAGGGATATGTTAATTGGAACCTCTAAATTGCCCATAGATATGAGTGTGTGTGTGTGTGTGTGTGTGTGTGTGTGTATTAGCCCTGCGACAGACTGGCAACCTGTCCAGGGTGCACCCTGCCTCTTGCCCTATAACAGCTGGCATAGGCTCCAGCACCCCTGCAACCCTGAAAAAAAGATAAGCAGTAGAGAGTAGATGGATATGATGTTGATGTACAAATTAAATTTTATGCTGGTACTAATGAAACTCAAACCTTATTTTCCAAAACTTTCAATTAAAGATATTAAGATTAAAGATCATTTAAAACATGCATTTTGTATTCATTCAGGTTATCTTTGTCTAATGCTAAAATTGGTTTGACCTGAAACATGTCAGTTTTCCAAATCTGCAATAAAAGAAAACAAGTACACTTACTTGCACCCATAATGTCACTGTGCAGATGAAACTGTTGTAAAATCATGACTGCTTGTTCCTTAGTTTGAAATATCCCTCTGTTTTCCTGTATTAGTCTGTGTACATGTGGTATTTTAACTTTGTAGTATTTAGTTTTATTTTTATTCAGGAGCTTTGAATTTTACTAGATGCAGATTTAAAGTAGTATCTGTTTCACTTTGGATGATATTAAATTCCACGTTGATGTGCAGACCCTGGATTCTAACATTCTAATGGTAATGTTAATATCTGCATTTCAGTCATCCAACAGTGAGAGCAGCAGCAGCATCAGCAGTCCTGAACGTGCAGCTGGGAGCTGCGTCAGTCAGTGTGCTCAGGGCCCCTGCAGTCCGCTTAGTGTGGGCAATTCTTTTGAGCCCACGAACCCAGTGTCCTACCTGCATATCAACCGCATCCTGAAGGATGCCCACTTCCAGAGCCTTCAAAACCGAGGTCACCTGAGAGACACATGACGACATAACGTCCCTCTGTCTGTCGCCAGAGGATTGATGCCCTGAGATGAGTATGAGGATCACATGCTGAGTCACTTCACACAGCTCTTCCCCACCCATCTCCACTGTGGTATGTCACAGCTCTATAGATGTGTGGATGGAGACCAGCATCTGGTCATGTGTCTGAGGATGGTTCATCATTAAAATAAATCATAATGATAATCATTTTAGCAATAATAACTGTGATCAACAACCATTCTTTTGATCCACTTATTTTCCGACCAGTCTGGTTTACGTCCTTCTCTAGGAGCCTTATTGTGACTAGATGATGATGATGAATCCATGTATTTTGTCTTAAATGTTGTGTGAGAACAAAGCAAGCTGTCAAGGTGCCACCATACACAATTTTAGGCTGGTCAGTGTGACTGCTTTAGGCTTCTAGTAGGGGAATGGGGGTTGTAAAATGCTGAATCAGATGTCTGTGTAAGTACATAGACCAGTCTCAGGGAGGATTTGCACTTGTCTTGGACTGCTCATTTGCTTTCATAATCAGACAGGGACTACTTTATGGGGGCTGTAGAAACCATGGGTGTTAACTTGGCAAAGGACAAGATCTTTTCAACCTTTACTTATTTAAATACCTGATTTACTGTTTTGTAAATGCATCTCAATCAAACATGTTAGAGTTGGGTCACGGAGAAGGTCACATTTTTGAAGGATTGATAACACTCCACTACAGAGAATTTCCAACAGTTTGACTGGTAAAATATTTTCAGTGCCATTGCATTCTTGTGTTCATTTTCATGTAGTTTAATTTACTTCTGATTTTGAAATTTACCATGTGTGGATCACTTGAATCACACTTCTGGTTAGTTCATGTTAATAATAACAAGATACTGAATTTAAAAGAAAAAAAAAATGGACCAGTGCTTTTGCTTTTACTTTTTTTTTCTTTTCTTTTCTTTTTTTTTTTTTGGTTTGTTAAAATTCAGTACTTTGTTATTTTAGTTTGAAAGCCAAGGCACTGCTAACCAGCTAGCCCCTCCTTTTTTCTGCTAGCTGGGAAACTTTCAGCTGCCTTCAGTGAGTCTGTTATCCCAAGAAGGCTCTTTTCTGGCTCGGTAAGAAATCAGCTGAAAGGTCACTTCAGCCAGAATCTGCAGCAGACGCAGAAATTGTACATGTTTCATAATGCAAAGCTCAGCAGACGTGCAGATCAGGACAAGAACCAACATCTTTAACTGAAGTCCAATTCAATGGCGTTTAAGTCTAGTTGTGGAACGTGATAAGTACTGGAGAGGCAGGGAAATGACATGAAAACCACGAGAATAGCCTCCTGGCCAACATGGGAGCTAGGGTAAGGTAGTTAATTCCAATTAGACCTAAAATAATATACTTCTGTATTGCAAGTTTTGTGAAAGTTATCTGATAAGATTGGTCGATCACTCAGCCCTTAATGCAGACTGAATCATCTATAATAAGGTGCATGTAATTATAATGTTACTGTTTTAAATAACAACTGGATGAAGCCATTTCCAAATGAATATAATAACGATCAAAAGGGACAGTGGGAATGCTCTTATTTGTCTGTATTTTTTTTTCTTATAATAATGACAATAGAGGCTGGTTGGTATAAAATTGAGTGGACAAAGCTGACTAACAAAAACACAAGAGTACTTTGATTATTGTGAGTTGAGCTGAGACGAAGTAAAGATAATTTTAGTGTTTTGTGACCATGGAAAAGTGATCCAGTATGTTACCTTTTTATCTCGTGACCACAAAGAGAAATCCAAACAGTAATAACACCCATTAGCTCTACAGCCTTCCAGATGTCTTATTTTCTCAGTTGTTGTTTTTTTTTTTTTTTTTTCTTTCTTTCTTTCCTTTATTGTACAGGGGATGGTGCATTTGGGGGACAGCTAGTTGTTTCTGTCCAGACAGAGTTGCGGTGCAGCCTTTTAGGTTTAAAAAATAAAACATAGGCTTGGACTGCAATTATTACTGGAGCCACTAAAGAGCAGATAGTTTTTTCTGCCTGTGCACTACCATTCAGATATTGCTGCATGAGTGTCCCTCTGCACCAAACATCCAGGTGGGTTTCTAGCATCCTGTTGGGATTGATTTATTTAAATCATTGTCCCAGGACTAATCTCAGTTGTTGTTTTTCTTTTATTTTAATTTTTAAACTGGCATGGCAGAAATGAAAGCCTTTTGAAGATGTGGTTTATTTTTGTTCAATTTTATATTTTTTCTATATTATATATTTAGTAATGTACATGATATTAATGTGGCAATGATTCTTTTGTGAATATCCTCTCATTTCATAAATAAAATTTATTGATTTTTCAACAGTTGTCTTTCTTTTTTTTGCTTCTGGTCACCAAATGTTTTATGCTTTCCAAAGTAATGATGTCTTTTGGTTTGTTGTTAATATATCAACTCTTAATTTTCAGTGCGAGAAAGAATGTTTTCTATTGGCTATTCATGCTGTCAGGTTTGCTCATTGTGGAAAGTCTATGCATACAGGTATCCTATCTATCCACTTTTTTTTTTCCTCCAGTAATGAATGCACTGAGACCATCTTTAATGAGACATGACCTGTGTCTAAGGGAAGCACAATGAAAGGTTTCTTTAATTAGCATGCTATGTGTCCTTGTCACAGACACAGTAATAGATTACATACATTAATGCACCACATGTAACCACGGTTACCGTACTGGCTACTGTGGGTGCTCATTACTTGCCTCCTTTGATTCACCCACTCCACCTCTGCTAAATTAGAGATGACAAATGGGTTAGAAATGTTCCCGCATTGTAAAGATATACCTCTTTCTGCAGGTGCATGATTTAACTAACATACAGCCTTTCATCTAAGCATCATCATCTGAAGTATATCAGAATATCCTCTTGTGTTTTGTTGTGGACAGATAGATAGATAGATAGATATCTATCTATCTAGAGATATCTATATATATATATTATATGAGAGAGAGAGATAAATAGATTTAATTTCTTTTTCCAATATTCATGAGGGAGGAAAGAAGCCTATTAAAGATATTATACAATATTGCTTCCAAAAATGATTCTTTAAGATGATGAAGTAATAAACTGTAAAAGGTACAACAGCTAAAGTTGGCCAAGGGCTGTCTTTATTTTAACCAAGTATGTAATTATGTATTTATTTGTGAATTAATCTAACTTTTCTGATCTTATTTAACATTAAGTGTCAATGAAGTTTTGCAAAAGCCCAAAGGCTGCTCCTGCACCAACCTGCCATTAAAACAACCCCAGTAGGGTTGAGTGTGCATCCCAGTCTGTGCTGTGGAAGTGGCAGATGTTCTCAAACAGCAGCAGAGGGCAGCACACTCTGTTAGCTAGACAACGGTGTTCATTGCAGTCTGAAACTCATAAACAGTAAACAACTCCACAGCAGGATCAAGACATGTGAGCTACATAGAAGATATTTATCTTTAATCAGTTGTTACATAGAAACACACACACACAGAGTCCTTTCCTTTCAGCACACAGATATGAAGGTGGGCGATGATGAATGGCTCCCATCAGTTGAGTGGAGAAGCAGGAGAGAGTTAAATGCGCTGTCCTTGTTCTGCGGACTATGTATGCGCATACATTGTTATATTTTTACCATGGCCAGCTAAAAATCTGGGTTAGTCTATGGCTCCTTTTCTGTGTGTCCTCTCGGCTGATTCCCATCTCGCTTTAAAGGTGAATGCACGGTGAACACCAGTTACACACAACAGTGCAGGCAAACAGAGAAACCTGTGCATGTTTTACATTCATCAGTGTCTGGTTCACCTTCAGTTTCAAGATTTGCAGATACCAAAGCTCCTGGAATAATCTAACCAACATTGTTCTAAATAATGTTCACAGGGCAGTCCCTCAAGTAATGGACATTCAGGTGTATATATAGTTATACGTATAAGTGTAAGGACTAAAAGAACATGAGAAAAGACAGAAACAGTCTGTGTTAAGCTGCTCTGGTCACCTTTGACTCTGTTTGCCAGACTCTGGCTGAAATGTATTTGGGCAGCTGTTGCCTGGCATGAAATGGTGATTGGGTTGGCATCAAGTATGGTGTTTTCCTTCTCCAGCCAACACAAACATCTGCTTTGCCTCCCATCACCATTTCGCCCGATATCAAACAACAAAGCTCGCCTGCTCTGCTGCCCACGGCCATCCTAAGGATTAATGACCCACCGAGCACATTAGCAGTGCCCTATTGCCCCTGCCTGGCTGGGGATGGGAACAAGGAAAGCCAGGGCAGGCAAACAAGGAGAGGGAAGGATTAGTGGTCCGGATGATAAAGTACTGTACAGGTCAGGAATCAAGATGAATAAATTTTCAGGTGATTGTGAAATGTTGAGTATTTTCTCTTTATACACTTGGCCTTGATCAATAATTTTACTGCCAGAATAAAAATATTGCAATATCTGAAAAAAACAACACATAGCAGGGAAAGTCATCTGAGGATAGAGGTCGTTAAAATACGGAATGTATGGCTACTAAAGCACAGCACTCAGGATAAAACGACTTGCTCTTAAGTAAAAACAAAAACTAAGGATCTTCTTCCTTCTCCTTTATGAGCTGACCTGCACTGCTCCTGTGAGTGCTCACTTTCCTAAATGCTGATGTCCGGGTGTGGACGGGAGGGCTGGATTACCTCAGTGACTGTAGCCTAAACGTGCAGCTCCAATGCAGCTGAGACACAGTCGTCATTTTCCTGAGCGAAAGAAAGCACAGTGCGGCCTCTATCTATAGAGCTGTTTTAAAGCTTTGACCGGACTGACCAGACAAGGAAGATAACCAGCTCTGCATGCTTGGGCCGCTGTCTCCAGTCCACTTTATGGCCTCCCTATTCAATTTCACACAATACATTCCACGGGCAATGTACAGTTTAAGCTTTTCATCGCACAGCCGAGTCTGGGCCCCAATCGGACGCTATAAACGTTCATCCCAGAGTTCTGTGTGTCACATGCATGCTGCAGCTGTTCCTCCTTTTATGGATGCTTAGGAGAATATTCACCCACGCTGTCTTGTATTTGTAAAATGTGATGTTTACGTGGTTCCGTTTTGCTCTGTTGAGCTGTCAAAACTTGCGGGCTTTCAACCCAGAGAGCTCTGCAAAGAATAAGTGCAATAGTTTAGAGAGTGTCATGCTAAGTGGGACTGTTTAGGGTTGGCTGGGTAGAACATGCACTCAGCACACCACCATATAGACTGCTGTTTTCTAAATGGACCCTATTAACTGAATGGAAATGGGCTGCACTCAGGCCTGCGTTGTTAGTTCAGAGAGGACAAGCTACGCGGCTCACACAGCCTGGTGTCGTCTCAACACGGCTGACCTGCCACACTGGCATGTTTCATCACCAGAGGACCGATATGGCGCCGCTCGCAGCCACCAAAGGGCAATTTGTTGCATTTGGACTATAACTGTCAGGAAGAGATATACCCTCACTTAAATAGCCGCCCATAATCTGCCCCTCTCCCTGTATTATCCTAATTGAACCCATGGGCGGCCAACACCATCAATAGCTGAGCTCATCTGCAAATTAATAAAACATGGGCCTTCACCAACTCTATGTCTGTGATAGAGCTTGGAGCTACTTAGACACACTAAAGGAGAGAGTGTTTGTGATTTTTATTTGGAGAAGAAAAGGAAGTACAATAAAATGTTCTCATTTTGTTTTCCAGCGGTGATGAGCACAACTTCTTATGGCTCCCATGGTCAAACATGCATTTCCTAATGAGATCCTTTATCTTCTTCTCCTTCCAATAATGGAAATGCCTATGAAAACCATTATACACCACTTACCTAAACATCATCGTGGTAGTTACCCTGTCATATAGTGTTGCTAGATCACTGGTTGCAGGTTCCAGCTGATTCAACAGGTGATACGATGTTCTGTGTTTTTTCCTCACTGCTGATGTGAGAACACATATGCCTCGGTCAGGACTGAGACATGCTGGCACCATCAACAAGTGCCACATCAGCGCAAGTACGGGGCGGCGGGGCTTTTGACTAGTGTTTATTTTGACTGTCTGGACCGAAGCCCAGCGTGATGTGGGAGACTACGAGAGAGGTGGTCATCATAATAAGACCTGCTTCTTAATAACAACAAATCCTCGAGGACACTAAGAAAACAGCCCGACGTTATTAAAGACATCTATCACATCTCGTGGGCCGTTAATCACTCAGTCACCATCTCTCCCTCCACCTCCTTTCGCCACTGATGATCACTCTTCTACCGAGTGTGCAACCAAGCCCACAGTGACCAAACTTTCCTCTTCTTGCTCTTTTTTCAATCCCATGCAGCTTTCTTCTATGTAGCACAAGGACCTTTGTTTTCACACACACAAAAAACCCACAGCAAAGACTTTCAAAGACTTTGACCTCCCACTGGTCCCCGAAAAGGAAGGCCAGGTCCAAAGTGGCATCACTCTCTGAGGGAAAACAGTGCTCCTCCAATATCAACACAGCGTACCTGGCCTTGAGTGCACCTCAAAGCTTTTGGTCTATTCATGGGTTTATTTTACAGAAGAGTTAGTGTGCACTAAAAAAAAGAAGAAGAAAAAAGAAAAAGCCTCTTGGACATAAAGAAAGGAATGCTGTAAAAGCTGCAAGGCCATGACAACTTGATGAGCCATCAAGACCGACGCTGAGCAACCACAAACATGGATAAAAAAGGCTGACATCACAGGGCTTGCTTATATGGAGTCATGGATATATGGACAAAACAGAAAAACAAACTGACTCCCCAAAGAAAACAGAGCGAGTAATCCTTGGACAGAGCATTGTTTGGGCACACTCATGATTGTTGAAACACCTCAATGTTATTGTGAATGATGGGGCAT